GACTACTAGAACTCCTCCAAAAATATATCCCCTCTCTTATCTCTGTACTTCTGCAGAAATTATTCTCCACGTCCCAGAATATTCTATACCCTGATTTGGGCCTCTTGGCCCTGACTTCCTTCAAAATTCAGTTCAAATCCCCTCTACTCCAGGAGGCCTTTCCTGATTACCCACAGCTTCAAATGCTTTCCCCTCTCAGAATGCCTTCCATCTACTATGTATATATTTTGAAGGCACTTAACTGTTTACATGTTGATTTCCCCCATTATAGTGTAAGCTCCTTAAGAGCAGGGACTTTGTTTTGCCTTTCTTGGTATCCTCAGTGCTTAGTACAGTGCCTGGCACATAATAAACAACAGGTGCTTGTTGACTTGATGTGATAGTATCTGAAGGACTATCACAAGGAGGAGGGGCCCTAAGGGGACCAAAGAGCATAACTAAGAATAATGTGGAAGGCGCAGAGACAAATTTAGGCTTGATATCAGGAAAAACTTAACAATTAGAGCTGTCCAAAAAGTGGAGTAGGTTGCCTTGAGAAGTGGTGCCCTTGCTCTCCTTGGTAGTCCTTGATCAGAAGCTGGATGGTCTCTTGAAAGGTATGTTATAAAGGTGATTCCTTTGGTGTAGGGATTGGACTAAAAAGCTACTGAGGTCCCTTCTCTCAAATTGTGCGATTCTGTGATTAATCAACAACCATTTATTAAGTGTTCTCTATATAACAGGCACTGTGCTAGGTGCCAGAGATGAAAGAATAAAAATTTCATTCCACCAAGGAGCTTACATCTTATTGGGGAAAATAATACATGCATATGTATGTACATATAAAATATATACAAAGTAATTTCAGTGATAAACTAACAGTGGGGGGAAGTCAGTAGTGGTCAGAATAGATCTTGGGTAAAAGGTGACATTTGAACTAAACTTTGAAGGGCTTTAGGGATCCTAAGTGGCAAAAGGAAGGCAGGAGTGCATTCCAGGCACGGGAAATACCACGTACAAGGAGGGAAACAAGAGATGGAACATTGTTTACAAGAAACAGCAAAGTATACAGTTTGGGTGGAACAAAGACTTGATTAAGAAGAGTAATGGGTAATAAACCTGAAAAGGTAGGCTGAACGCAAACTATGAAAGACTTAAATGCCAAATAAAAGAATTTTGATTTATTCTAAAGGCAAGAGGTAGTCATTGGCACCTCCTGATCAGCAGAGTTAAACAAGCAAAGCTGTAGAAATATCACTTTAGCAGCTTCCACTTATCTACAAGTCAGTCTCAGTGGAAAGTATCTTTACTGTACACTGGACGTTAGGTTTCCTAGTCAGTTAAGTCACTGAGGTTTTTTAAAGTCTGACATAGAGAAGTTTAATTGCTCAAAATTGGTAATGCACAAAATCGATTTTCCACATCACTGAAAGATAAAATGATAAACCCTAATTTTAGAATTTATTTTATTTCATAAGAAAAAAATCTATACATAGGGTCCTTTGTGCTTCCACAGAACCAAAAACTAGCACAGTATTAAATACCTCACTCTGCACGTCAACAAATGTTGAGAACTTATCTAAAATGCTACTTGATTATTATTCTATGAAGCTACTATACAGATGGTTATACTAGCATTTTGTAGCTAGTATAAGACTAAAGATTTTTAAAAATGGTTACAAATAATATTCAAGAAGAAAACTGGATTCACTTAACAGAAATATGCTTTATAGCAGACCACAACAACACATCTACTGTCCTTTTATTATTCAAGATTACAGATACTGAAATCAGAAGAAATCACTCTGATCCTAGGAGTACATCTAAGAAGGGCTAGTGATTTTTTTTTTTTTTACAGATTGACAAATATAAGGAATATATAATAGATATAAGGAAGATATTCAAGAAAATCTTTTCACAAAAAGGTGAAATACTACTAATAGGAATTCTTAGTGCCTTTAATCAATTCACGGATATCAGAGAAATTAGCTCCCTGTGAAAACAATAAAACAATTCACTCAATCTAGTTTACTAAAGACCTTGAAAAATATTTTTTAGATTTATACACAATCAAAGGATTTAGGTACATGACACTGAGGAGAGGTGAGCCAAGAAGTGAAAGGTGCAATCTGTTTCACCATGAAAAGTATTTCTTGCTTTTGTGGCCCAGCTGGTGATACAGTGGACAGAATGCTAGGCCTGGAATCAGGACTACCCAAATTCAAATCGGACTTCAAACATGTACTAGCTGTAAGACCCTGGGCTAGTCACTTCTGTCTGTTTTCTCAACTATAAAACAGTGATGGTAAATAGCACCTATCTTGCAAGGTTATTGTAAGAATCAAATAAGAAAATAACTGTAAAGTACTATATAAATATTTCCTTTCCTTTCCCTCTGCAGTTAGTGTAGCTATATTCACTCCGGTTCTCTGAATCCTTATAGATTTGTATACGTCATCTCCACTTCTGGGTCTCAGCTCACCAGCTGCTTAGGCCCTAACTCAGCAGTTTTCAAGCCCAAAAGTTAGTCCCTGGACACAGAATTCCATTCCTGACCTTCCAGGTAAATGGCTAAGCACCAAGGTCTTCGAGATTCAGATTTCAGGTTAACTAAAGAAGCCAAAGTGGTCCACAAAAGTTTGTATTCATGGCTCATATATACAGAAGCTGGGTAATGATGTGTATTTCTATTTATAGAAAATATAAATAAAGTTGACAAAAACTTGTTTGTTTTTCTTTTATCATACTAAAAATAAATGAGAATTTTTAGAAAATTACTTTTCTTAAGCAGTGTTTTATGCCAGCCTTTTGTTGAATAAGTAACTAAATTAAATGACAATTTACCATAAGTAATTTAATTAAATGACAATTTTCCACAATAAATGACTAGAAGTTAATCTTTGATATTTGACTTTCTTACAGTTGCAGAAACTAAGTGATACATCTTTTATTTTGTTTAAAAAAGAAACATGATGTTTAGGATACAGTTATGCAAACCACATTACACAATTCAAATGTTGGCAATATTTCTCTGCTTAAAAACGATGATTAAGTTCAATTTATTTCAGAGCTCTACATTTCAACCTACTTTAACAATCCCCTAGAATTAAAGATAATCACTTTCTGGAATCAGGAAAATATTTTCCACTGGGTTTCTCACTGTACTGCATTTCACATATTCTTCAAACACCAATGCTACACACCTATCTATAGCTAATCCACACCCTCAAAGTGTAAAGATGAGTTTGTCAGTAGCAAGTATTCCAGGATTCCTCCAAAGACATCAAATTAGTTACAGTAGGTTTGGCCCTGAAAATAAACTCTATATATATACCAGGCTTTAAATATTTATATGCCACTGTCTTCTACTTCTTCTGAAAAATTAGTTCAGTAGCTATCCAGATAATATTAGATTTTAGTAACTTACCTCCATAAATAGAAAGTTATAAATATAATAACTAGATATCCAAATTTACTATAATTAACTATAGTTAATATAGTTTCCTACAGTTAATTGTGGCAATGGCTCTGGTATGAAAACTATTTAGACCGGATTTGTAGTCCTTTTCCTAACAGGAGTTGACAACCTGGGAACCCAAATCAGTAAGGAATTCTGATTCTTGGTATATAGCCGTGGCCCACACCCAACTTACAGAGGAAGGCAACAGAGAATCTTACTCCATTCACCTCACTATATGTATAATTTACACGTACAGATAATCAATAATTGACAGTATGCCTATAAAATGCCATTTAAAATCTATAGCAGCTCCATTTTTTAAGTATTTGGTAGTACAAATAATTAAATATTCATAAATATGCATATATAACTCATGCTCCAAAAGTTGCTTAAAGCTGGTTGTTTGGTATTCTGAATGTATTCCCTCCCCCACCACCAATAATGTTATAGATGGTGGCATGCTTCCCAGACAAGCCTTAATTAACAATAATAATAATAGTTAACATTTATATAGCACCTAATATACGTCAGGCATTGTGCTAAGCACTTTACAAACAGTATCACATTGATCCTTACAACCACCTTGGGAGATAAGTACTACTGTTATCCTCATTTTATAGCTGAGCAAAGTGAGGCCAACAGAAATTAAGTGACTTGCCCAAGGTTACACAGCAAGTAAGTGTCTGAGGCTAGATTTGAACTCAGGTCTTTCTGACTCCAGGCCCAACTCTCTATTCACTATGCTATCTAACTTCCCTAACAAAAGCTTATTAAATCTATAATGGAGCTGAAATATAGTGTGAAAAGCACTATTTCATCTATACCTAAACCTGCATTAATTTACTTAATGAGAAAATACATGCCAATGTCTAATTACATGCAACAAAATCAAAGGTAGGGAAGGTCAGACATAGTCCACACAACACCAGTAACTTGCTGACTTCCTACATCTGCACAGGAGATTGTAATGCTCTACATTTGAAGAAAAGGTACCTCTCTGGATCTATCTACTCCACAAGTGCCTTGAAGTAGGGTATAAAAGGTAATCCTCCTTTCTGTCACTTATACTTTCAGAAAATTTAGAAATTTAGCTGACATGTTCATGTTGATCAATTTAACCAATGTCAGACTCAAATGTGATAATGTATGTAAATGGCTTTGCAAACCTTAAAGAGCATCATCATCATCATCATCATCATCATCATTTGTAAAAGCACCATATAACAACCTCTTAATTTTTCAGCTGTGAAAAAGGCCACAAAAACAGATCATATTTAAAAGTGTTCTAAACCCTTTTATAGTAAAAACAAACAAACAAACAAAAAAACTATTAGCTTTCCTAAGCTACAGTTATGGCTGAACTTTCCATGATGTTAACTTCACTTTTCTAAAATAAAGTACAATGAAAGAAAAAAAAATGTTTTAAATTCACACCATTTTATCTAAAACCCAATACCAACAAGGACTCTTATAAACTAAAATCCTATCTAACCTCAAAATTTTAAACAAAACAATTTGAATGCAGCAGCAATGAACTGAATTAATCCAAACATAAACTTACCCTGCATGTGGAGCTGCTATCCCTTTATGAGACGGAGATAAGTTTTGAACTTTGCTTCCCAAAGAGCTACTGACAGAAGACCCTTTACTTGAAGGTGCAGCTTTCAAAAAAAAAGAACAAATATTAGTCTTTACTAGCACTGTATGAGAGACTATTTTGCATCTCTTTAAAGACTATTGTCATAATTTCTGAGGCAAGAATAAAGCACAACTGAAAATTATAGAGAAAATTAAAAACTGCAAGAAATTCTCAGAAATCAAGAAAATAGTCATTCCACAATCTCATGACAATTTTTGCTGATTTCTTTATTCAATTAAAAAGAAAGAAGTGCTCACATATACCTAATAGTATAAAACATAATTAAGCATTATCATATGACTACATGAGACAGTTAAAAAAGTCTTTCAAGGTAACCAAAAGTTACGCTCTAAGGTACAGTAGACCTTTACAGGTGGTATCATGATCAAAAGACCAGGAAACATTTGGGATTTTGTTGTTTTTGTTGTTCTGGACAAAAGGTGACATTGATAACAACAGTAGTAAGAGCTAAAAAAGTATTATGATAGGGCTCTAAAATGGAGTCACTGAGGCTAAGTAGTCCTAATGACCATAAACATGTAACAGACAGACTGTCCCTTTCCACTGTCCTGACTCAATCTGATCCTGTATCAAACATATAAACTATCATGCTCTCTGTTTGGATAAGACTCTGGGCTGAATATAGCAGCTGTGGTACCAACACCTATTCCTGGGGTCCCTGATTACCAACTCAAATCCTCAACAAATTTCTAGTCCCAATTAAGAAACTCCCACTTGAGTTTGGTATTGCCAAATGTCCCAGAGAATTCATCACATCTGACTTTGATTAGGAATGCTACCTCTAGGAATGCTTCCTCCCACATCTGGTATTATCTGTTCTCAACTAAGCTCATCTATAAAGTATAAAACTTCCCTGCTCACACTCAATTATGAATGTGCAACCCCTACACCTCCCCATCAAGATCTTTGCCAACATATACGCCACCCTTCCTCTCAAGTGAGTGACTCTGGTTGTGTGATTGTGTGTGGCAAAATCTGTCTGTACTACCATACCAGGGTGTGTATGCTTTGTTTATTTGCTTGTTTGCTGGACTGCACAAGAATAAAGTTCATATTTTTACAAGCTTCCTGAGTACCAATTTCCTATAAATCTTTTAACCTGAGTCTTTGCCCTAAGCTGAGCCAAGAGGTCAAATATAGCAATTAGTAAGAAGCAAAAATAACTGTGGTTGGGAAACCTGAAAAATACCATTACTGAATGATATTTTATTTAATATCACAGATACATTATTTTTCTTCAAATCTCAGCAACTTTTAAAACATGTCTTGCTTATTTTGCTTCACTGTATCTATAATTCACTTACAGAGATAATCCATAATTGACAGTATGACTATAAAATGCCATTTAAAGTCTCTAGTGGCTCCATTTTTAAATATTTGGTAGTACAAACATTTAAATATTCATAAGTAACTCACATTCCAAAAGTTATGTAAAGCTGGTTGTTTGGTATTCTGAATGCATTTTCCCCCACACCCTACCTTCATCTCTTATTCTGGTAACATACTTGGAAAATATCTGTGAAATTTATGGTACTTCATACCTACAACAGACTTGCTAACACTACTTGGTTGTGGTAAACGTGAGGATGCTGAAGGCATTGTTCCTGGAGAATTTGTCTTTTTAAGGGCAGGAGGCTTGTACTAAAATAAGGAAAATAAAATAAATTAGAAACTTTTTGTGGTAATCGGTACAAATTTTTCTTGGAAATATATTCTCTTTTAACTGCATGTTATTCTGTTAGATTTTATATGCAGTAATTTTTTTAAGAGTAGTAAAGTATTTCAGAATCCAGGTATCAAGTAATACAGACAGAATAGAAGCAAGCAGTAATACTTACCCAAACAGTGTATCAATGAACCATCCTGATGACTTTTTATTAAGTAAATATAAAGTTTCCATAGATTATGGATCTCAGAATCCCAAACTCAGATAAATGAATAACCTTGCCCAAATATGCTGATTTTAGGATCTAAATCTGTCTGAATTCATAAGGTGTAGAAGAGAATATGATGTCACCCTATGGGTTTCCTTTTTAAAAAGAGTTCATATCACCACTACTCAATACTGTATTAGAAACACTAGCTATAGCCATAAGATAAGAAAAAGAAATTGAAAGAATGAAAATAGACAATGAGGAAACAAAACTATCACTCTTTGCAAATGATATGATGGCATATTTAGAGAATCCTAAAGAATCAACTAAAAACCTAATTGAATAATTAACAACTTTAGCAATGTTACAGGTTATAAAATATATTCTAGTATAAGTAAACTTATAAATCTTCTCCCAAAAGGACTTTGTGCACAAATACTGACAGAAATAGACCCCATTATTTTTTGCTACTTCACTGAAAGTACATTCAAATATACTCAAGATATTTGGATGTATATTTTTAACACTGAAATTTGCTTGAATAATTTCCATCATCAATGAATATGTCTTTGGAAAAAGTGTTTTTAGTAAAAAACAGTATTTAATTTAAAACTATTATAGGCAGCAAATTTAAATAGGTTTTACACACAATATAACTAATATAGATATATCCTAAAATTTATTATTTACATGAATTTTCTATGATTATTTTACTGCAGTCTTCTCAGAGGATCAAAGGATCTAGAGTGGGAGAAGGCCTTAAAGGGCATATAGTCCAACAGCCTCAGACTATTAAGCTGTTCAAAGAAGGAAAAAAGAAGCTGGTATGCTGTCAATTTAAGAGCTGAACATAGGGAATAAAGCTGTAAAGGGATTAAAGGTGTAAAGAGGTGACAATTACACATCTGGGTACTACATTTTAAAAAGAAGACAGATAAGCCAAAGATCTTCCAGAGGGGATCAACCAGAAATGCAAAAGACCATTTGAAAGCCTGGAGACAATAAGGTTCAGAAACCACTTGATAGTGTAGAAGAGAGATTAGATGTATTATTTGACACCACAGGACTAAACTAGGAGTAATGAGTAGAAGCTGAAAAGAGGCAGATTCAGGTTTGCTGTCAAGAACTACCTCCAAGTACAACGGTCCGCTCAGGAGAGAATGAGCTCCTCCTTTTGAATGTGTTGTAGTAAGAGACTTTTTGAGCTATTCACTTACTCTACTATGGGCCCTTTCAACTATGAAATTCTTCTTCCGTGAACATTTCACTTTGTTTTTTTCTAAATCTGTTTCTCTTCTTAATCATTTTTTTCCTTATGCCTCCTCAGCACTATCACTTTAAATATACTTAGAATCAGACTTTTAGAGTTGGAAGGATCCTTAAAGATCATTAAATCCCAGGCCAGTGAGATTTCTCTTAAATTACAATACCAACCTTCTTAAATTAATTTAATCTAATTTCTAAAGAGCAGGTAAAATGTATGTAAATGCCCTCTGGAACATAAGCTCACTACTTTGAACTCTATGCAGTCTTTCCCATCTGTCCCCAGAAATGGTTTAATGGTTAAACCAACAAATCCCCTTAATAAAAGGATTTGTTCTGTGAAGTTTGGATTCAGTCAAAGGGCAGCACTTGAGGATCTAGAGTGCCACATGTGACCTTGAGGCTGCAGATTCCCCACCCCTGGTTTAACTCATATCATTTTACCTGTGCTCGAGAAGTTGATTTTCCTTTAGTATCAGTAGAAAATTTGCCTTTGTTACTAATACGAGCAGCTTGTTCCTTACAGAAATTAATATGTCTGTCAGCTGCATTTTCATTGAATCTCCTCTGGCAATATGGACACTGAATGTAATCTAAAAGAGATATAAATACAAAACCAGATTAATTGTATGTGAAATGAGTGTTAAATTACAACAATTATATATATTATATATGACATGTATACATATATTATGCATTCACAATACACACACTATAAGATACTAAAGGTGAGCAGGAAAATCTGCTAAATTATAAATTGCCAGCTTTTTCATAGTTTTATTTTTTAGCTGACAAGCCATAAGATAAGCCATGTCTGTCCCCATTAAGGAAGACCTTGGATCAGACAGCTGCTGAATTCCAGCTTTTCCCTACCTCAACCTCACCTCAGCTAAGAGGGAAAGGGGAATAGAGAGGAATAAATGGAAGAGATGAACAAGAATCCTCACACTACTATGGTACTGATAAGTAAAGAAATGATACTTTTTCTCTATTTGTCTCACATTCTGACACGTGGCCTCAAGGTCACAGGTTTCCCACCCCTGGGCTATGACAACCTTAATACAGTAAAGCTATTCTGATCTTAAGTGGCCTGGGGCTGTTTCATAAACCTGTTAAGGTCCGGGTCACCATCACAGACTTGGTGGATACTAACAAAAATGGTGCATCTTCTATCTAACTTCCCTGCCCCCTCCAATGCCCACAACTAACACAGTGACAGCATGCTTGTTCATCTTGGAAAGATTTCAATTTCATACCTTCCACTCACTTTATTTCTGACATGTCCACTACTCATTTCAAACTTCTCAACAACCCATTCTCCTCACTCTCCTACTTGTCCCTAGCAAGTCAAACTATTGCTTTCTACAACCTACCATTCTCAAACTGAGGGTCAGACTGAATAAACCAATTTTATAATAACACCAGACTGCCTACCATCAAAGATAACTTTTTGTATTGTTGACTATATTTTGATAATTAAATGCATGCTTCCTTTCAAAAACATGTAATGTTATCTCCTTAATTCTTAGCACCTATGGTGCTTCATACCACTGTCCCTGTAGCCAAACAGTACCTGAAGAAACTAGATGACTGCTAAGCCTAAATCATAATAATAGCTAACATTTATATAGCATATTAAGAGTTGGAAAAATACGCATTATCTCCTCTGAGCTCCACAACATTCTAAAGACTAACAACTTTAGATACTATCCCCATGTTATAGATGAGGAAACTGAGGTTCAAAGAGCTTAAGTGAATTCCCAAGATAACAAACCTAATTTCAGAGGTGGAATTCAGAGCCCAGTGTATCCTGGCACCACATCCAGTACTCTTTCCATGTCATATGACCTTTCAGGCTACTGACCACAATCACCAACTCTCTGCAAACCCTTGTAGGTCAGAGATGAGGTACAGCTATCAACTTTCACAACAGATAACACTACTGGAAACTGAAACAAAGAAATAAGTAGTGAAACTCAAAGCCTTTTAACTGAAGCTTCCTGACCCCAAGAAGATCATAAACCCAGCCTTTCAGTAGTCATGGGCCCAAAAGGCACAGAAGGCAACATTTCCCCAGTTCTGAAAACAGATCTACCAGTAATAGGTAATAAAGAAAAGTTTGCAGTTTAATTCCCAAAAGCAGGGTAAATGTAATACCTAGTGCATTAGGAGGCTTGTGGCTCAAATATAAATGTGAATCAATCAAGAACTTCCACCCCACTTCCCACCTAACTTAACCATTTTTTCTGCCAGAACAGTATTTCTTATCAATCCTGACACTCTGGGTATAAGGAACACTACAAACAAGGGGAACATGCTTAGACCTCCAGAGTTGCCACTACTACAAAATATTCATATCTTTGAGTAGTAGTAGATTTAAGTGGCATACATATACAAGAAATGACACTACTAATCATTAAATGAACAACTACCACGTCCTGGATATGCATGCTCCCAAATCTGGTTTCTCTGTGCCTTTGAATCCTAGATTGAATTCTCTAGTGACAATTCCTGTACTTTGCCCCTGTTTTCCTCCTAGGTGGACCTCTATGATAATTTAACTTTTTTAACTTAACCCTAATGGAATTTTTAACTTAATCCCTAATGGAACCCTGAAATCCTGCTCAAGATTCCTGGGCAATTTAGACATATTCATACCCCTGATTGCACACAGCACATAACTACCTTAAACACACAATAAATTTCAGAGAATTACTGAGTCACTTGATTCTACTGGCAAACCTCTTTAGACAATCTAGATCCTCTGAAAGAGAAACTATTAGAAAGAACCATGCTAAAAGGTAAGCCACTATGTAGACATGAGTGAAAACTTTGATGGCAAACTTGCTGTGTCAAGATGCTTGCTCAAGTAAACCAAAGAAAAACCTCACTTTCATGGCATTTTTATATACTTAAAGCACTGCAACATTTGGCATGTAGTTTTTGTCAGATTATATAGACTGAAATTTGATTAAAAAACACCAGCTACACATCTGTTTCATTGTGGAAGATAAACAAAATGTGGGCTATTAACACTTTAAATTAAAGTATTACACTAATAAATTCCCATCACAAATGAAATTTTTTTCTCTCATGTTTTTAACTTTATAAGTAAAATTAATATGAAATATACCTTTTCTGTATTAGGAAGAACTGAAACAATGGGGCATGCATATATGTAATCAATCACATTTTAGATAAAACAACTTTAAATCCATAGCTAAAGAACCTGAAGTTCTTATCTTTAATAGTTTGAAGAAATTTCAGAATGAACTCTTACTATATTAAAAGTTAAAATCAAAAGCTGAAATTATAAAATTGTATACTTTCCCTCTTTTATAAGCTGAATCACAACTATGCTATAAACTTGGGCTGTTTCCTTTGAAGTAAAAATTATGATTTATCAGTCCATGACCACCATATTAACAATGTAATAGCAATAAGACATGTGTATGAGTATCTTTCAATAATCCCCTCATTTTGACATATGTCTCATCAATATTATATACCAGGATCATAAGAAGGTGGAGGTGGTGGTGGAAGTTTGCCACCCTCTTTAAGTGCCTGATCAAGTCCTTTAGCTGCCCTTATGGTGGCAATGAATTCTTCATGTTTTCTTCTCCAGTTAGACTGTTTCTTTGGAGGTTCTGGCTAGAAAGAAATTTTTCAAAAAATAATGAATAACAAAAAAAAATAATTTTGCACACTGAAATGAAAATTAGTGGTAACTTCATATTACTTTCAAAATTGTATAATTGACATTTTCCTAGGTTATGGGGGAGGGGAACTTTTATGGAGAGCATTATAGAGGGTGTCCCAAAAGTCTCAGTAGAGTTTTAAGTTTATTCTAATAATTTAAAACTCCACTGAGATTTGTGAAATACCCTGTACATGCATGATATTATGGTAACCTTTCATCAAATCCTCCATTCATAAATGAACATAATACACAAATACTATATTTTATCTATCTAATAAGACACTGAGTTGAGAAAGTTTTAAAAAATTAGTATCATTTGGCTGGAACATCAACATCTAGTATAAAGTATTTTTTGTGTGTGTGTGTGTGTGCGTGTGTGTGCGCACGTGCGCGTATACAGAGAGATAGTTACTATCATTCTTTTTTTCTCCAAATTAAAAGGCAAGGTCTTTGAAAAAGTTTGGGCCATTTCAAGAAACAATTTTGCCAACTAATAAAATATTTTTTAAAGTATAGGCAGTCAAACCTTTTGTTCAAGTCACATTTTGCCACTAAGTTCATTCCATACTATTTAATAATGTTGCCTTTACCAAACATTCAATGCTTTCTTCTGCTTTCCCAGCTGAAGAGGACAACTGTACATGAGCAGTTAGGCTTTACCTTACTACAGCCCATGGGTTTTGAGGAACCTATTTAATCTAAAAGGGGAAACTGCTGGTTTATTATTTCTAGACACTTTATAGCAACTGTTAATGCATGCTGATACAATAAATGAGTAAGACTTGCACTTAATGGTTTCTTAATTTATTTGCTTCTGGATCAGGAAATATTAGAAGAAAAAAAAAGTTGAGCTACATAATGACAGAAACTTGGTGTATTTACTCCTCTCTCCACCTCCCACCCCACCACAACTGATTGTTTTCCCACATTATTAACATGCTTAGAAAACTTATTAAAAATACTGCTCAGGAAAAGATTTATTAACTCAAATACAATTTATTAAGTTTTTTTTGTTCTTTATGGATGTTAACCATTCCTTAAGTTTTTAACTTGGAGAGATTTTAAACCTACTATTTTGCTTGGCTATAGTTGGTATGACAATACTAGTACTAGGGAGAAGTTACAAAAGAGGTAGCTTTCAGTTCAATTAAGAAAGTTTCATGACAACTGAAACTGTCCCAAAATGGAATAAGGTGCCTTGTTGGTAAATGAATTCTCCATCACTAAAAGTATTCAACCAGAGGCTAAATGACTATTTTTCAAGAATGTTGCAGAAAGGATTCATGCTTTCAGAAGGAAGAGGCCCAATTAGATCTAAAGCTCCCTCATCTAATGATTACATGACAGAACACAGGTTTAAAAGAATTTAGTATTTTTTCAATAAAAAGTACACTTACTTATATATTTTCTAAAAATAGGTTTTTATTCTGAATTTAGGAAAAAAAACAGAAAAGGGAAGCTTTTCCATATACAAAATAGAACAGATGAAGTATAAACATAAAACTGTGACTTGCCTTTCAAGTATATAATGAATTCAACTTATTAAAAGCTGTCCTGATCATCTGTGTTTCCTGCTGAATTTCCTTCTATTTGCTTCTTTGCATTCTTAAATTCTTCAATTGACCCTTTTACTTTTCTTGACAATACTATTGGCTAGTTCCCCTTTCTATCTCGAAATACTAGCCCCTCCCCAAATTAGAAGAGCAAAAAAAGGAAAAACAAAACACTTCTAACAAATATGCATGATCAAGCAAGATCCACACAAGGGTCAGGTACAAAAATATACATCTCATTCTACAATTTGATATCATTAAATCTCTATCAGGAAGTGGGAAGCAAGCTTTATCATCTGTCCTCTAGAGAATTGGTTGGTCATTGCATTGATCATATTTCTGAAGTCTTACAAAATTTGTTTTTTCTTTACTATAGTTATGATTCTGTTCACTTCATTCTGCATAATTCTATGCAACTCTTCTCATATTTGCCTCAAACTATCCCTTTTATTATTTTTTAAGGCACAACAGTATTCCATCACATTCACATAACAAAATTTGTTTAGCCATTCCCCAACTGACAGACATACCCTTAATTTCTAGTTCTTTGCACAACAAATAAAGTTGATTTAAATAATTTTTTTTTTACATATGGGTCTTTTTTCCCTCTTTCTGTGATCTCTTTGGATATAAACCCAGTAGTGGAATAGCAGGGTAAGAAGACATGTACAATTTAGGGACTTTTGGGTTCAAGTTTCAAATTACTTTCGAGAAAGGCTGGACCACTTCACAGCTCCACTAAAACTGAAAAAGTGTAAATGACATCCTACAGCTCCTCCAGTAATTTGTCAGTTTTCTTTTTAATTATCTTTGCCTATATAGTGGAAGTGAGTTACTTCTCTAATTATTAGTGATTTGGATAATTTTTTTTTCATAATGCTCTTGACACTCTTTCATTGTGAACTATACATTCATATCCTTTGACTATACTTGGTAATACTTATGAAATATTGTTCTTTTTATTGGGAAATTTCCAGCAAAGATTTCTTACCAGTTAACTGTTCCTTCTGATTTTTGCTGCATTAATTTTGTTTGTGCAAAAAATTGTCAATTTTAAGTACTCAAAACTGTATATTTTATCTTTGTGTTGCTCTCATGTCTGGACATGCTCTCTTGCTTTAACCCCTAGTAACAAAAGTATTTCCATACATGCCCCTCTAATTAATGTGACCTTTTATATCTAAATCATGTACATTTATCTTGACCTATAATGTGAAGTATTGATTTAAACAGGGGCATCCTTCTATAATATACAATCTTGATACCTTGATATTCAAAGCAGGAAGAAACAAAGCAGAGAAAATTACTATGTAATAATATCCCTATTGAATATTGATGCAAAAAATTAGTTAATATATTAATGCAGAGGCTTCAACAGTGTATTTAAAAGATTATATACTAGACCAAATTGGATTTATACCAAGAATGCTTAGTTGGTTTAATATGATAAATATAAACATAATAAGCCATACTACTAATAGTAAAAATAATATAATTGTTAAGTTGGTGAAAATTTTTTGACAAAACATAGATTTCTATTAAAAAGACTAAAATGCATAGAAATAAACACATTTTTCCTTAATATGATTAATAGTAACTATCTAAAACCAAGGTCCAGAATTATTTGTGAGAAATTATAGAGCTAGGTTTCTTAATCTGAGGATCATGAACTTGATTTTTAAAATACTTTGATAAATGTATTTCAAAATAATTTATATCCTTTGTAATTTTATATATGTTATCTTATGCATTTAAAAATATTCTGAAAGGAAGGTCTATAGACTTTGCCAGTCTGCCAAAGGGATCCATGACACACAAAAAAGATTAAGATGCCCTGTTTCAGAAGCCTTTCCAATAAGAACAAGGACAAATAAAGGATAGGTCTTATTACTATTCGTACTCAATCTAGTGCTAAAAATTCTAGATGTAGCAGTTAGACAAATGATTATGCATTACTGAAATTAGCTTTTCATTGTCAGTATAATGATCTCTTTAGAGAGCCATAAAAATCAAAAATTTCATTTTTGCATAATTTATTTATTCCTGGGATTAACTGCTCTTTGCATGTTTGATAGAATTCATCAATATGTCCATCTGGTCTCAGGATTTTCTTCAAGAGCTCATTTGTAGTTTCTTAGATTTCTTTCTGAAATTGGATTATTTAAATTTTCTACTTCCTAATTTGTTATCTGGGTATTTTTTTTGTAAACATTCATCCATTTCATCTAAGTTATCCATTTTGTTGGCATAAATCATTATTGAGAATATTCTTCAATTTTCATTTCGTGTGAATTACTTTTAATTTTTGTCTCTAACAATTTGGTTTTCTTTTCAAAAATATTAGTTACTCATGTATTGTATTAAGCATTTTTTCATCAAAATCTTTTTATTTATCAAATCAATGGTATTTTAGCTTTCATTTTTGTCAATTTCTTCTTTGATTTTCAAAATTTCTATATTGGTGTTTAGTTGGTATTGCTTTTCTAGTTTTGTTTTGTTTTGTTTTGCGGTTTATGTCTAATCTGTTGATCTCTTCTTTGTCTTTTATGATGATAAAAATAAATTTTCCAAAAGGCTTGATTTGGCTTCATCTCAGAAATTTCGCTATGTTATCTCATTATTGTTATTTCTTTGAAGATATCTATTGTTTCTTTAATTTCTTCTTTGAACCACCAATTTTATAATATTAAATTATTTAGAATCAAATCAATTTTAATCCTTTTCCCAAAGATCCTTTATTTAATAGCTCTCTTTAATATATTTACTGTGTTGTGATCATTAAAGAACATACTTAACATTTCTGCTTTTCTGCATCTTAGTGAGATTTTTAATACCCTAACATATGATTAATTTTTATAAAGTTATCCTACACAACTAAGAAATATGTATACTTCATTCTACTCCCATTCAGAAATCAGAGTTCTATCCTATGTAACTTTTCTAAAGGTCTACTCAAGTCTGTAACTTCTTTGTTTATCATTTTGTTAGATATGTCTATGGCTGGAAGAGTACACAGAGGTCCCCAACTATTATAAGCTTTATTAAATATTGCTCTCTATAGATTAACTTTTCCTTCAGGTATTTAGATGCTTTCATTCAATGGATACATATTAAGAACCGATAATAATTTGGTGTTTATGGTTCCTTTAAATACTTTCCCTGTTTATCCCTTCCTTTTAATCAAGAATATTTTTATTGTGCCTTCTCTGAGATGATTACTACCTCTGTTTTTTGTTTATTTGAAGCATAATAAGTGCTGCTACAGCCTTTTAATCCTTTATGAACATCCTTGAAATGTTTCCAGTAAACAACATATTATTATTAGATTCTACTTTCCATGAGCTATCTATCCTTTATCATTTTATAAGTGAGTTCATACCACTGACATCCACAGTAATGATTTTAAATTGTTTTATGTCCTTCTATTTTATCTTACTTTTTACCTCTCCACATCTCATCTCTCATCCCATTGTTTACAAAAAAGGTAGTAAGAATGTTCTTGACATTAATAAGCAATATCCTTCTACTCCACTTGCCCCTCTTCTCTTTTCCTTGAGTGGACATCAATTATAGGATTTTGCCATTTCTTTCTTTGCCTTTAATCCTCTCTCCCTGCTCTCACCTGTTTCCCAACTGAATGTCATTTTGCTACACCAAACTTTTTGCAAGTGTTTTCAACCCTCCTCTGTCAAATTCGGATACAAGTAAACTTCATGTGATGCCCACTTCTCCCATACTTTCTTCCATGTTTATATAGTTTTTCTGGAGTACACCAATTATTTGAAACATTAAGTTCCACATCTCCTTTCTACTCCCCTCTTACCCATGTATTTCTTTTATCCTCTCTCTTTTTTTTTTTTTAACCTTAAATTAAGACCACTGAAACAGAACAAATTCAACCCCAGGCTTTGTTTGTATTATTTACTCTTTCTATGATTCTTGAAGTGAAAAGGGTTCTGGTGGGACACTCATTTCTTCTCCATCTATTAAAAGGTAATACAGGAGCAGCCAGATGGAGCAGTGGATAGAGCGGTGGCCCTGGAGTCAGGAGGACCTGAGTTCAAATCCGGCCTCAGACACATGATACTCACTAGCTGTGTGACCCTGGGCAAGTCACTTAACCCTGACTGCCTCACCAAAAAAAAAAAAAATGGTAACACATACCCATCATATAGTCCCTTCCAAATGCTCCAATGTATTTACCTTACTAGGTTTCTCTTTACTCCTGTGTTTTATATTTCAAAGATTCTATTCAGGTCTGGTCTTTTCATCAGGAATTCCTGGAAGTCCTCCATGTCATTAAAGATCCATTCTTCCCTCATCCATTTTTCCCTTGTAGGACCATACTCAGTTTTTCTAATATAATTTTTGGTTATAAGCTTTTTGTAATATTGCGTTCCAAGTGCTCTTTTCCATTATAGTGGTAGCTGCCAAGTTACATGGTCCCAATTGTGATTTTTTGGTGTTTGAGTTCTTTCTTTCCAATGTAATTTTGTCCTTAACCCTAGAAGCTCTGGATTTTGGTCTGAAGTTGCTTGGAATTTTTATTTTAGAATTTCTTTCAAGAGGTGATAAGTGGATTATTCTTAATTTTACTGTGCCATCTGGTTCTAATAAGTCTTAGCAGTTTTCATTCTGATTTATTAAAATATGGTGACTAGGCTTTTTTTTGTTATTATTTTTCAAGACAATGTTTCTTAGATTATTTTTACCTTGACCTATTCTGTCGGTCTGCTATTTCTGAGAGGATTTGCACTACATTTTCTTTGATTTCACTGTCACATTTCCTGTTTTCTGATGAGTCATTGATTTGTGTGGTTCATTTTAAGTTCTGAGGGGTCTATTATTTGGTTAAGATTTTCTAATTCATGTACTAATCTATTTATTCTCCTTTCAATTCTTTCCTTTATCGTCTCATTTCATTTAAATATCCTTTTTAAAAACCTCTTCAAAGAATTCTAGTAGACTTTCTGGCCATGACATTCCTTCCCCCAGACTCTGTCCATAGAAACTATTCAGTTTCTCTCTTCCTCCAGACTTGTTTTGTGAACTTCCTCCTATTCACAAAGCCTTTATCATCAATATTTTCTTTAGTTTATTCATATTTCCGGCTTTACTTCCTGAATTAAGACTTTTTTCATGATTTCCCCTGCATATTTGGATAGGGCAGTAGGCTCATTTGCTCTCAATGGGTATTGTCTGGGGTCCTGCCATTGGCCCTTCCCTTCTGCTGGTATTTGCTGTGCACAAAGTACTAATAGGCCCTATGTTTGTTGGTATCATCTGGGTACAAAATGCTTACCTCTTGAAGGTTATCAAGAATGGCTCACATCAGCTTGCCACAAACTTTCCAAGCCTCTTGAATACATAAACTTATTGCTGCCCATTTGATAGCAACTTTGCTGGCTAAACCATGCTGGGTCCCCGCCGCTGAGGCACTCCAACCTTCCTTCTGATCTCTGTGTCTGGGATGTATTTGATCCTGCAGAGGCTTCCAGGTTGAGCACTGCTTTTGGAAGCCAGAAAGTTCCCATGTATTTTATCTGCACTAAGCTCAAGCCAGCTCCTCTTGCTGGGCCTCATCTTTAATGCCTTCAGAATTCTGGATGTCCCCCTTTGCCAGTTTAAGCTGGATGAATGTACTGACTATAGCATCTTTCTTTTTTTCTTAATTATTTTTTGGCCTGACAACTCTTCATGTATCTTTTATGATGTACATTTGGGAAGTGAGTTATTCTGCTCTTATTCACTCTGCAATCTTAACTCGAAACGTCTGGTTATAATCTTAAAGTATATTCTTCATATCCCAGAAAAAAAGATAGTTTCATTCTCAAAAGGTATAGTCTATGCCATTTAATTCTTCTCCAGATGATCACGGATTTAACTACATTAGAAAAATTAAAGAAGAAAATTTCTCTTCTTCCCAAGCCAGAGCAATAAGATACCACTTTTGAGGACAAGTCTAAGATGTGGTTTTCCACTAAAAACCATTCACCAGACACTGGATTTAGAAATTCTATGGATATTGATATAAGCATTTACATGATCAGTACAACGCTGGATACATACTTTGGAGTATACACTCCTTCTCTTTAGGTATTATTCCAAACTTTATATATTTACCCGAGGTTTAAGTGGTTTTACTGTTGGAATATCAGTTCCTTCAGCCCTTTGCCTGCTTGAATCAAAGGCCTTCCGTTTTTTAGTGGCAGTTTTCTGACAAATTGGCCCATGCTTCTTCTGTTAGAGGAAAGAGAAAACACAGTGCATCATTTTATTTTCAATAAGGAATAATATAAGCTCTTGAATTTTTAGCCAAGCTATTTTAAAGGAAAAATCTCAATGTATTTATAGCAACTATGAAAACATAGTTTATGTTAAAATCTGAAAGACAGTAGTGAGCAATGATAACACATGCTTATGTTTTAATACATACTGAAACTCCATTATTTAATCATTATTACTAATATCAAACATATACATTGTATTTTTTTCTTATTCAATTTCCTATGTCTTTAACATATCGAGTTCCCACAGATCACATCAGCATTTTTTGCAATCTGTATTCGTCCCTACACTAACCCCACTACTACTGCAATTATAAACTGCTTTAACACCTTCCATTGTAGTTCTTTTTGCTCTAGTTCTTATCCTACCCTTTGAAAGAAACTCAGTGAATGAAATGGAAGTTGGAATAAAGTAATTATTACATTCTTAATGAGACCTGCAAAAAGAAAAATTGCATACTTGTTTTTAGCCAACTTAGGTGATTATAGTCAAGAAAGGCTATCAAAGGTCTAGCATGGTAATTTGGCCATAATGAATTGAGATACTGAAGAGCTCCAGAACCTTTTCAGTATTAGAGAATCTCAGAATAAGAGTTTGACCTGTAGCATGAATATATACTACATAATCCCTGACAAGTGGCCAGGTAGCTTCTCACAAGAATAGTGAAGAATAATATCTCATAAGAAAGTCCACATGCTTAGATAATTCTCATTGTTAAGAAGTTGTTATGTGAAACTAAAACCTGTCTCAACCTAATTTCTACCCATTAGATCTCCTCTCTAGGATCAAACAGATAAGCCAAAGGATCATATGATTTTGAAGAACTTAAGATATCAGCTAGTTTGATGCCCTGAATATTCCAAAGTCACAAATTTAATAGGCAGCAAATAAGCATATGAACCCAGTCTGACTTCAAATTCAGTGCCCTTTCCATTAAATCAAGTTGCCCTTCTTCCAAATAACAATGTCTGAAATATTTTAAGACAGTAAGTGATTATGTTCCTCTTGAGTTTTTTGTTGTGGTGGTGGTTGTTGTTTTGTTTTGGCAAAACATCCCTAGTTCAACTTGAATGTCAACTGCCTAGATGCATGACTCAATTTACCTTCTTCTTCTTGGCTTCAAGAAAGTAAGGCAGCAAAAGGATAAGATTCAACACAATTTTAATGGGGTGGCTAGCTGCACTGGAACATTATGAGAGCCATACTCAACAACACTTCCTATGCCTTGATTTTAGTAATTAACTGTAGTTAAAAACACCCCCATTTTCAATAAAGATTCTACTGCTATTCTAGTTATCCTTATTATAACGCTTAACTTCTAGGACTAGAATGAGAACCTTGAAAAGAACTGTACAAAATTAAATGAAAATTACCTCTGGCATCACAATTATGGTTTTCTGATAGATCTTTGTTTTATGTTTCCCCTGCTTGTAATGTTTTCCTTCCATGTCTAAGAAAGTATTTTTTTAAAAGTAGTTTCATCAAAATCCATTGTACTGTGGAAACCACTTAATATGCTAAATAGGATACCTTACTGAATGACTACCTCCTAAAACTATGCCTACCAGATAACACTTACTTCAAAATCTTAAATCGAGTAATTTAATACTATAGGCCTTCGTTTTCACTTGTAAAGATGGACAGAATAATAAAACCACTTTTCAAGGTTAAGACTGAAAGAGCACACTTATTTTTGTAATTACAAAGAACAAAGACAGCAGCAAAGGGGTTTCAATGGAAATGAAATTAATCAATGCCAGCAATACTTTCTCAAAACTGTTTCATTGTGAAATAGGTGAAATTTATTGTTTACATATTCTCTCTTTCCTGAAAAGGTCCTCCCCTTTCTCCTCCCTGATGCTATCTACCCTGCTCACTCTGTTCTTCTTCCCCTAGAATTCTATGATGCTTTTCACTCTTATAGAATCTCGATCTCTGCTAGCTGTCAACTAATTTATTCACTGCTTTATTAGATATTTATTAATCACTTAGCATTTTCACTTCAGTACGGAACTCCTTAAGATTATTCAAAAAACAAAAGGTATGAAGCTCAAATAGAATATTGAATAAATGAGGTTAACTGGTATAAGTTGTCCTTTCTAGCATCCCATCCACCTATCACACTATGGAGGTAGTTCCATACAAAGCTGGTGTAGTACTTCAATGAATCCATGATTTCATCAACATAGATATTCCCTCAATCAATGTGGATTCCAACACATTGCTGGCTTAATAAATGCAGATGCAAACAGGCAAATAATCAATGTACTCACTAAGGCAACTGGAAAGAAGGTTCTTCCACAGATCTTGCATGGTAACAATTCCCCAATTTGTACTACACTTCCATTTTCTAAAAGAAAAAAAAAATCAATAAACAATTTTCAGTTTTCTTAGCTCACAAATTAAACTATGTAACCCTAAATCTTATTTATTACTAAACAGCTGTTAGGTCAATAAATTTAAATTCATGAAGCTCTGTGAAAAATCTTAGTTATTTAAATTTTAAAATCCTATATACAAATTAATATCTGCTACCCACAATGTACAATATCCAATTATTACAGTGATTTAATCATTCAGACCAAATATGAAAAAGTCATAAAAATTCAAGGACTATAAAATGGATCTTTCTAAACATAATCTTCTTCAATTTATATTAACCTAAGGTTATTTTTTTAAATGAAAATATCAAGGACTTGAACATTACCAAAAAGCCATATATTCCCAGGTACTAAGCTACCCCCAACTTATAAATGGAACTAAGTTGGACTATGAAACAAGTTAACCCTCTCAGAACACAATGCTCTAGGAAAATTTAAAAAAAAAAAAAGCACTCTAGCAACCTAAAAGAAGTTTCCCAAAGTAATTACCTAAAAATAACAGTTTTGGAATTGAAAATCTTACACTGTGCTGTATATTTTAATACAAGTATTTTGCTTTAAAGATAACCTAGTTTTCCATGCAAAATGCATTTACATTTACAATTATTTTACCATCACATAAATAATATTAAGAAACTCTAATCTCCACAAGATATATTCTACAAGTTGTCATTCACTTACTCAGAAAACAATCTACAATGTAACATGTATCTAGACTACTCAAATTTTATTATTCAAACAACTGTTACCTCTGACAATAACATTCATCGTATATTAGAATTATAGTATCTAACCATATAACTTAACTTTATTCCTAAATAATTTTTTAAAAAACCTGTCATTCTATAAAAGGTTAGAACAAAAAGAAATTTTCTATTTTCTCATCAATCTTTTAATGTGTACTTACTAATATGATTTTTCTTGGTTTGTTATGTTAAAATAAAGTTGAAGAAATAATTGATTTATGAAATACCACTAATTAAATTTTAATTTAAAAAACAGTACAAATATGACAGCCTCATTTTAAAGCATCTACTGAGTTCCCCCAAATCCAGTGGAACCAAATAACAGCCACTAACCTAAATTCAAATACAGTAAGCAAAGAACTATATTTACTTCTAATTTCCCTAGTACTTCAAGGCCCTATTTTTTTTTAACTGATACTGTCATATCTATCACAAAAGACTGAGGCCAGTACCGTGAAAGTTAAGCAACACAAAATACAAAAGCCAGGGTAAGCTCTGCCTGGTTCTTCCTTCTCCAATAGCAGAAGGTAGGTTATTTGGGGAGAGCAACTTCAGCTACCTGGATCATCTAACTCCATTAACAATCCAGAAAGCTGAAGTTGTTGCTGACTTTTATCTTGAGGTAGAAGTGATGGACTACAGTGTCAGCACAATATTAATCAATGAAATACAACCTGTCATATAATCTCTACGGTTTTCAGGTATTCTTATATTCTTTCCCCCCTCCCCCTACAAAATCATAATAATAATAATAATAATCACCAACACATTCTCAAAACCATAAAATTCTATTAAAATTGTATTATGTGTAAGTGTTTAAAGACAACTATATGAAAGAGGGATAGGGTCTGGAACTGTAATTTCATTAGTACAGGTGAGGGAACTCCCTCTAACAGTGCAGGTCAGTATCTTCTCTATAATTTACAACTTCTGAGAGTTGCCTGGAGCATTGAAAGATTGAGGGTCACACTAACAGTATGTGTAAGAAGAACCTGAATTCAGGTGTTCCTGACCATGAGACTGATACTCTAGTCACTATACCGCACTATGTTTTCCTACACATAAAGTTCAAGCAGGTTATCTTTGCTATGTTTAATTAAGAAATGGCCAGAGTTGCCCAGATTTCTCATTTAATAGAATTTTTAGTATACATGTGTACACTGTTCACTTAGACTATTAACTGAGACATAAAAATAATGGTATCAAATGAGGTGTTACAATGGTGGTTAAGCCAAGCTCTACCTTAAATATATCTCAAGAGTAATGAGATCTAAAATGAGACAGCCTAATCTTTATACATGATACAAAGGACCACATAATATGAATGACTGCCCCAACAACAAGAGTTAAATACCTAATAGTGCACTACTCAGTATGTCAGTGAGTAATAATTACTCCCCTTTGCTCATAAACAAGCTCTAGAGTTCTACAGAATCCCAGAACTACCATATGACTATAGTTGATCTTTTCCCTGTGGAAAAATCATCTAGGACAAGAATGTTCAGAGAGAAATTAATGAGTAAAAGCTCCACAATTTTTCTCTACTCCAGGCCTGATAATTCCTTTCAAAAAGGATACTTCACTGGGCAGGAGAGAGTTCACAGCATTTTATCATAGCATAAAACTCCTTAGGTATACAAAATTCTGCATAGCTACAATTGGGTGATTCTCCTAAAAAAAAAATGAGGAAGAAAGAAAGTATGTTCTGCTACAATTTGAGTGCTAATGGACATAAGATTAGCATTTCCTAACAAATAAAACAAAATTAACAGTGTACCACTAATGCCAGAAAATTTTCAAACAACCAAGCTCAAAAATGTGACCTATTATTATGAATTTATCCTAACCACATTATTGATGCTGATGGGAACCAATGTAGTTAGCAATATCAAAACTTGAGTTATAGGTGTCAAGACATCAGGAAACACTCTTTTCCAGAGCTAAGGCCCAGCAAGCAAGCCGTGTCTTGGACTTGGCATAACAACAATCCTTTGCACTCACTGTCTGGATGATCTCACTCTGGCAAAATGTAGTTTTGACCAGCACCAGATGTTCACCGAGGGATTTATGATTTTCATATTAATCAATAACTACTTAGATTTGTTAGGCACAGTGGATAGAGCACCGGCCCTGAAGTCAGGAGGACCTGAGTTCAAATCCAGCCTCAGACCAAACATTTGACACTTACTAGCTGTGTGACCCTGAGCAAGTCACTTAACCCCAACTGCCTTAAAAAAGAAAAAAAAAAGAAAAGAAAAGAAAAACAGATTTGTTGGAGCTCCCCTATTTCCCAGGAGATTCTGGCCTGACAGGTAAAGCTACAGTTGAAGTGCTGCAGCAGAAAGTGATCAATTACATCTTCTAACACTCTGAATAATTCCTGTGCTTGTAACTCCTAAATGAACCAAACCAGGTGCTACACTCCTGTTCCCACCATGCTAACTCTGGTTCTGTACTCCACTGAATGATTGCAAAGCTCAACAACCCTTAAGACCTGAGACAATCAACTTGGGGCTGTTCCCGCAGGACCCAAGAACACCTGTATTGCCCTAAAAATGCCTGTATGCATGGCTTGTCATGTGAACTGTTTACTTGAGACCTATGAGTGACTGTGTCGGTCCCGCCTTTTTGTGGTTTTCATGCTTAAAAACCCTACCCCTGCCACAAGCCACAAGCCCTCCTTTTCAGGAGGACTTCAGTTTGCAAACCTGTTTTTCCTCACTTTGAAATTAGACTTTTGTTTCATTCCTGACTCTCCTGTCTCTAGCCTGCTTTGTTCAGCTCTGGCCACCCACAGGTTAGAGACTGGTTCTAGTCTAGTTGACATAGGTTTTCTTGAAATAGTATTTAAAGATATGAAGGAAAATACCACTATCTAAAAACTTTAAAAAATCACAATCTATACTTAAGAAATAAATTAAATAAGTTTTAAAATAAAGGACAGCTAGGAGTGGTGTGTACACATATAATCCCTGCTACTAGGAAGGCTGAGGCTGGCATCTCTTGAGTTCAAGAGTTCTAAATTGCATTGGGCTAAATCATGGAGTGTCCATAACCACATTCAGAGGCCACCAGGTTGTCTAAGGAGAATCAAATTGGCCCAGTTATGAAGGAGAACAGGCTAAAGTTCCTGAAGGGGAAACGAAAGAGTGAAGCGAAAGAAATGAAATAATATAAACCCAGAATACTAAGCACTGACTACCTCCATGGAGTTGCCAGGCAACTGACAACTCTAGTGGCAACACAAGCGGACAATTTTATATTATATATTAGCCTTGCAACTCATTTCAGCATAATTAGATGAGGAGGTACAATGCTTCTTTACAACCTATGAGTCTAGAGAAAAGCAAAAGTTCAAAGGTAGACAGGAAAGGGCAGCCTGGGGTTGTATCTTCAAGACTCAAGAGTGGGTGGCAATCCCTCTGAAAAATCAGCTAAATTGAAAGGATTCTTGGAAGATGGTGAAATAAGTCAGAAAACTTTAGGCTCTACAAATTTCCTCCACAAAAAAAAAAGACAGAACATCTCCTCAAAGTGAACATGGAGCAGCAGAAATAAACAAAAGTTAAGGTAAGGCAGTTGTCCTCCTAAGGCAATATGAGAAGACCCCAGGAAACACTGGACCTCCAGAGATAGAGGCTTGGCCTGAGTGAAGTGCAAACACCTCCAGGCCAACTCCAGGGAATCAATAAACAACAAGTCCTGGGGGCAGCTGGGTTGGGAAGCAGCCTCAGCCTCAGGAACTTTCACCTCATGAACAGTGTGGGGGTTGGAAGGCTCAGTGGTAAGAGGAAGCACCTTCCTCTGTCAAGGGACACCAAACACAGCTGTACTGACCAGATGGGATCCAGGTGCTGTTGTGGGGGGGAAGGAACTGGCACATACCTGGTGAGTGGGGTGGAGCAGCGGGGCATGGACCCTGCTGGCAGTTACAGGAGAGCAGCATCTCTGGTTTTGGCTCCAGGGCAAAGAGAACAGTTGAAATTTGCAGCCTCTGGAGGGACCACAGGGAGCAAGAGCTTTTCCAGGACATTGTAGCTAGGGGCCCCAGCTTTATAGATGGAGAGGAGTGTCCAAGGCTGGGTCCCCAGACAGAGCTCAAAAAATAACAATAAGAAGGACCTGAGGCCTGGGGCATAATTCCCCATACCTTCGGACTAGAACCTGAATATCAATAATAAGCTGCTAAAAATTAAAAAAAAAAAAAAGAATAAGCAAAGGAGAAAAAACCCAACCAGAGAGAGCTACCATGGAGATAGAGAAGATCTGGTTCATATTCAGAGGAAGATAGTGGGTCTTAAAAAGTCACTCCTTTTTCAATGACCAATTTCAAATGGTCACAAGCCCAAAAAGAGTTCTAGGAAGAACTTAATAAGGACTTTAAAAATCAACTAAGAGAGACTGAGGAAAAATTAGGGGAAAAAAATTAGAGCAATCCAAGAAAAATCAAGAAAATTATAAAAAGAAAGTCAACCAACTGGAAAAAAAGAATAAAAAAACTTAAGGAAGAAAATAATTCCTTTAAAACTAGAATTGGGCAAGGGGAAGCTAATGACATTATAAGACACCAAGAGATAATAAAACAAACTCAAAGGAATGAAAAATAGAAGAGAATGTGAAACATCTTTTCAGAAAAACTGGAGAACAGATCACATAAGAATAGTGAGACTACCTGAAAGTTGCAATCAAAAATAGATTCTTGATACAATATTACAAGACATTATCAAGGAAAATTGCCCTGAAGTTCTAGAACAAAAAGGTAAAGCAGAAATAGAAAAACATTCACCAATCACCACCTGAAAGAGATCCCAGAAGGAAAACTTAGAGGAATATCATAGCCAAGTTTCAAAGTTCCCAGGTTAAGGAAAAAATATTGTAAGCAACAAGAATAAAAACAATTTACATACTGTGGAGCTAAAATCAGGTTTACCCAACACCTAGCAGCTACTACTTTAAAGGACTGTATGTACTAGAACACTATATTTTGTAGAGCAAAAGAGCTGGGGTTATGAACAAGGGTAACTTACACAGCAATGTTAAGTATACCCTAAATGAAAAAGAAAAATGGACATAACAAAATGAAAGATTTTCAGGCATTTGTAACAAAAAGAACAGAACTTAATGGAAAATTCAACATATAAGATCCAGGAAAAATTTAAGGCAAATATTAAAGACCAATTACAAGGGACTCAATAAAATCAAACCATTTACTTCTTATATAGCTGAAAATGTCATCAGTACTCTTGTGACTGTCATCATATCTGGGTAGTTTGAAAGAAAAGCTTGGGCTGAGCTGTGCATGATAGGGTGATTCTAAAAAAATAAAACTGCTAGGAAGAAACAGAAAGGAGTAATTACCTCATATAAATGAGGCATGGAAGGAAGGCTTGATAGAGAAGCATGAGAAGGGACTGGTAGTGCTGGAACCTTACTCTCATAGGAAATGCGTTAAAGAGGGAACAGTATATACATCTAGAAGGGTATAAAAGTCTTCTGTATTTAGAAAGAAGAGGGCAAGGGGATAGGATAAGGGAAGGACTTTTAGAAAGGTTTTAGACTAAGAATTAGGAGGAAAGAGGGGTTAAGGGTGAAACTCATAGAAAGACAGGTAGATTAAGATAGAGGGTGGGGGGAGAGAATAAAGGAGGGACTCTTATAGGGGTGGGTAGATTAAAGCATAGGAGAGCAAGGTAGCTGGTAGAAGTAAATTAGAGGAGTGAGGAGGGATAAGGTAAATAGGGTGAGAAGGGTAATGAAGAATAATAATTTAGAATGTGAATGGGATGAATTTACCCATAAAACAGAAACAGCAGAATGGATTAAAAATATTAATTTAACACTGTGTCACTTTAAGGAAACACAATAAAAATAAAATACACACAGATAAAATAAAAGGCTGGAGTAGAATTTATTATGTAAAAAAAGCAGGGAGGGGCAGCTAGGTGGTACAGTGGATAGAGCACCAACCCTGGATTCAGGAGGACCTGAGTTCAAATCTGACCTCAGACATAACACTTACTACCTGTGTAAGGCCGGGCAAGTCACTCAACCCCATTACATAGCAACAAAAAAAAAAAAAAAAAAAAAAAAAAAAGCAGGGATAGTAATCATGATCTCCAAGTTAAAGCTAAAATAAATTCAATTAAAAGAGAAAAATAGGGAAACTACACTATGTGTCACCAATATTATTCAATATTGTTTAGGTTTCATTTCTCAAATATATAATGAACTTTGTCAAATTTATAAGAATATGAGTCATACCCCAATTGATCAAGGGATATGAATGGCAGGTTTTCAGTGAAAAAAATCAAAATATATATGTGTATATATAGATAAATAGCCAGAGATATTTGAAATAAATTCTCTAAATCACTACTGATTGAAGAAATGCAAATAAAAGATATCATTTTACACCTTTCAGATTGGCTAAAATGACAGATGCCCCTCAATTGGGGAATGGTTAAACAAGCTGTGTGTGTATATGATTGTGATGAAATACTACTCTGATACAAGAAATGATTATCTGGTTGATTTAGAAAAACATGAAACGACTTGTACCTAAAAAGAAAGATGCTATCCACCTCCAGAGAAAGGAATGGCAAACGGAAATATGCATAGTACAGTCTTTGTGTGTGTGTATGTGTGTGTGTGTGCATAGAAATGCATATATATATTCACATTTAATTGTAGCCTTCTCTGGAGGATGGGGGGAAGGTGCAGCAGAGAACAACAGAAAACCTAGAAGGAAGCACAGAAAGGCTGGGTAGCTTTAAAACAATGTGTTGTATTTATTACATAGGTTTTCTTGAAATGGAAATTTGTTTTATATTGAATCTTCTCTTATGTTCCGCACTTAAAAAGGTTTTTCTTTTCTCATTTTGTATTTAAAAAGCAGCTAAATTCACCAGAAGACTGAACACACTCTCGGTGATGAACTGGAGGGTGTGGCAAAGATTTTAATAAATGCTCTGGTGGGTGCTGTGTCACTGAAGGGAGAGCCTGTACCAATGAAATCTGAAAGATTTCCAAGTATCAAAGTTGTGATTTTAGCTGTTGAGAACTAGTAGCGTTCTGCTCTTTTAAAAGCATAACTTTAAGATTTCAAAAACTTTAAAATATTAAATTATCTCTCAATAATGTTGACCATGCAAAATAAAATTTTTAAAAATTAATCCATAAAGTTTTTTTTTTTAAATCTTACATTTTAGTATCTTAAGTGAATAATCACCAGCATCCCCTATTTTACAGACACACTGGAACAGTTAAGTGATCTGCCAATTAAACTACAGGAAAAAAAAAAAAAAGAATCTAGAACTCGATAGGTAAGTCCTAATGTATTACTCCTGGCCACAAACAGAATTTGGTTTAAAAAAAACTACTTTGCTTTTAACATTTTCTGCATTCTTCTTCAAAGTGTTTATATTACACACTTATTTGGCATAGATATGACTGTAAGCAGGACAAATGAAGGAAAAGCCAAGAAGCTGCTAGATTAAACGGAAAAATTTGTTCTTGGATGAAAGAAACTCTGCAAAATAATTCACATCATCTCATCATAATACATTTTAGTTGCCCTTTGGCATATTGAGTATTCAAGGGGAAAAATCATTTTACTCTGCATTTCACACCACAAAATTTTTCCCCTTTTGTACCACGAGGCCAATCTCCAAGTTCACACAACTCTCCCAAAACTGATGTTAAACTAGGCAGAAATAAGGAACAGAAAGAGGCCCCAGGGCCGAACACCTTTTAAAAGTCAACTGTACAGCTGCTATTGATCAAAATCTCCGAGGAACCCAACTTTCTGGTTTTCGATGAACCGCCCCCATGCGGGGGTGTCGGAAGGACAAGTGAACAGAAATAACAAGCGGCAGAAGGGCAGTAACCTCGGCCGCCCAGCCGCCGCTGCCCTGGGTCACCTCGGACCCGGGGCCGGGGCTCCAGGGCCGCGCTCGGACATTCTTCGGGGCGCGGGGGGGGGGGGGGGGGGGGGGCGGCCGTTTTTTTGTTTTTTTAGGGTTCCCAAAACAAACGGGCCCAAGCAAAAAAGCGGAAGGGGGGGACACGCCCCACGGCGGCCGCGGAGGAGGGGGAGGAAGACAATGAAGAGTCCAAGGGGGGGGGGGGCGGGGGGGCTTATTGAGGAAATCAAACGCACCGAGACCACCACGGGCCGGAGGAATGGACGGACGTACGGAGGGACATAACTGGGGACGGGCGTGTCCCGGCCGGAGAAGAGGGGCACAAATCACAGCGGAGGAAGCCTCGGAGGATGCCCCAGGGCTGCGGGACTTCCCCCGGGCAGGGGCTCAGGGGCTGGGGCGGGGCCGGGAGAAGGTGCGGCCGCCGGCCCGCCCCGCGCTGCCCCCTCTCCCCGGCTCCCCCTCCCGCCCGCCCCAGACCGAGGCCGGGGCCACCCCGGGCCCCGCCTCCTGAGCCCCCAGGCCCCGGGGTCGCTCCGGACGGGGGCGGCCGTTCCCGCTCTGCCCGGCCTCTCGCTCACCTCCCAGCCCCTCCATGGCGCCACAGGCTCCTGCTCTCGGGCTCCGGCTCCTCCAGCTCTCGCCGCCGCCGCCGCCCAGGCTCCTGCTTTAGCAACGCGGCCGCCGCCTCCCACCCTCTAACATCCCCCGCTCCCATTGGCTCAGGAGCTTCCTCCGAGGAGGGGGGAGAGGGGCTTGGGAGACGGGAGACGGGAGGGGGAGGGGGAAGGAGGAGGAGGAGGAGGATCACGCCCCCCCCACTCTCTTTCTCCATCCCTCCTCCCTCCTGGGCGCCGTGGTCATTTACCGCCCCTTGGCCGCTAGATCCCGGCATCTTTTCCACCCCCGCCTGAGCATCTGCCCAGTCCACCGTTCCGTTTTCCACTCTTCAGAGCCGCACGCCCACACCCCTGCCCCCCAGCTCCCCGCCTCCTTCTTCCCTGGACACCCTGATGCCCAGCCCCCTTCTCCCTTCTCCCCCTGCCCTGTACACATACCCCATGCCCCCTGCTTCCCCTCCACAGGACACCCCCAGCCCACCAGACCCAGCACAGCCCACATCCTTTGCATACCCAAGTCACCGGCTCACACCTGCTCTCCAGCAATTTCTATTACTCCTCTAGATTTTTGCCACTTACCTTCTTCTGCCTCCCCATCCACCCAGAAAACTTAGAAGAAAAAACCAAACCTGCAGCCATCCGTATACCCACCTTACATTTTGCCAGTCAATCTCATATTCTGCCCATAGCCAAAAATGAAAGAAAGGATATTTCTTAAATCCTTAAAACTGTAAGAAAAAAAAAAGATGGGGTTTTTATCCAGAGTAGATCTTGGTAATGATCTAGTCGATCCCCTTCCCCACCTTCACCCCCCTATTTAAGATCCCGAGAAGGGAATGGGACGATGGCCCCAAGATCAGGAATGGAATTAGTCTAGATGGGAAAGGATCCAGGACTCCTCATTCCTAGTCATATTCTAAACACAACACATATCAAAGTACTGAATTTGCTTACATCCTACCTTAATTAGTCCTTAGTGTACTTTTTTTCCCCCATAAAATGTTTAAGTTATATTAGAATGTAGTCTTGGAATCTAGCCTTGAGATCATTGTTAAAATTATTCTGGATACTGGTGAAATCGTTTCTTTTGGCCTTTCCTACTCATATTTGTCACTGATCTTTGAGCCCAAGATAAAAAGTAAATCCCAACTGTTTATCACTAGATAAAGCCTCATTTCTAACAGATTATTTCTTCCATGTTTGAAACACTAGCATCCTTACACTAAAAAATTAGCCTCCAGGCAGCAGCATAACTCTTTGCCTTGAGAACCTCAAAGCCTGGCCACAGACCTGCATGTAACTGAAAAATCTTAATAGAAGGGGTTCATCACTGGCAGGGTCATAGGATCAAAGAATTAGATTCATCTAGACAACTCTCTTATTTTACGAAAGAAGAAATAGGCTCTTATGGCTAATAACCAACGCCATGCGTTTGAACCTGGGTCCCCTGACTCCACATCAAGCATTTTTTTTTCCATTCTGAATCAGATGGGAATTTTTGTTGTTCAGTTGTTCCAGTCCTGTCTGACTCCATTTGGGGTTTTCTTGGTAAAAACACTGGAATGGTTTGTCAGTTTTCTCCAGCTCATTTTACATATAAGGAAATTGAGGCAAAAAATGGGGTTAAGTGACTTGCCCAGGGTCACACAGTTAATAAGTATCTAAGATCAGATTTTAACTCAGGGAGATGTCTTTTCCTGACTCCAGATTTGAACTCTATCCATTGTGCCACCTAGCTACCCCTCACATGGAGATATCAACAGATAATTTTGGTTTGATATATAAATAAACATGAAAACAATTTAGCGTTTATGCCTGGCAACCCGTCTTTCCTTGATAATTTGATTTGGAGTGTGAGAAATGAATCATATTTAGTCTTTTATTACTATTATCATTATTACCTGGCAATTGATAAGCATTTAAATTAACCACAGCAAAACTTAGATGTAAGCTATTGCTGGTACCATCTATTCATAGTACTGCCAGATTTCATCAGGTAGTAATATTTTCCTCTGCTTAATTCTAAGAAGAGCTGTCCAATGCAATGTTTCAAGGATATGCCATTTACCTTATGTCATTTAACACTTTTATCAAGGTCTTAGATGAAAACATCACTAGCATACTTCTTAAATTTACAGATCACCCAAAGCTAGGCGGGATGACCAACACAACATCCAGAAAGATCTCAGCAGGCTAGAATGATGAACTGAATCTCCTAAGATGAAATCTAACGGAGATTAATATAGCTAAGAACAATGGTTTAAAGGTGCAAAGAGATGAATTTAGACTTGACTTGGGGGGAAATTTCTTTACAATTGGGGCTATTCAGAAAATGGAATAGGCTTCCTCAGGAAGAGAGGGTTCACCTCATCACAGGAAGTCTTCATGTGACACGAATCTTGGAAGGACACTGCAGGTAATGATTTGAAGCCGTAGTTATGTGGGGTGTGAGATAGAGAGATCGTCTAGACTGGTTTGGATTTGTGTAATTATATAGCTTTCAATTAACAAGCTGCTTGTTATTACATAAGTATTCCCTGAATGATGTTACATGGCTGATATGATTTGGGGATTTTTAAAGAGAGCTTTTCCTCAGGAATGGGTTGTATTAGATGGTATAAACTCTATAGTTTATATATTCTACAGTATATACTCTATAGTATATAGGTCTAATATGGTATATGGTATAAAGTAGTAGGCTTGGGTTCAAAAGTCAACTTCACTTTGGGGGTATGACTAGGCAATCTTTTTTTGTAAAACAGACCTTTTGTTGTTAACTTTTGCAATTAAACTTCAAGTTCAATATAAATCAATAGTGTGACATGCACTGTCAAAAAAAAAAAAAATGCTGGTGTGATCTTAGACACATAGTATCCAGAACATTGGAAGTGAACATTCTGTTGTGCTTTGATCAGACCGATGCATCTGAAGAATTGTGTTCAGATCTTTGAACCACAAACTACAGAGCATCTAGAAGAAGGAAACTGAAACAGTGATAGGACTAGAGACCATTGTGGTACAGTGGAAAGAGAGCCGAACTTGGAATAACAGGACTTAAGTTTGAATCCAAGTTCTA